CAGTTTTGAGTTGATGAGGGCTACATAAATCCTGAACTCGCACATTAAGGCACTTATAAGAAAGAAATCAGAAATAATACCAATTTGGCTGCTGAAACAGAGAAATGATAAGGGCCATTTGTTATCACAATATGCTTCCATTAGTTGAGAAGAAGAGGCAGAAGAGACAAGACCTCAAAGGAAAGAAAAAAATAAAAAATGATGCCTCTGCTATCAGGAACCTCCTTTAAAGTCCACCTCATCAATGAGACGAAAAGTAATCTGAAATAAACCATTAGTATGGCGAAATTGAGTTTTGTATGATATCATTAATTTGTTGCAAATATCAGATTTGAATATGTTCACAAGTTTCTTTTGGTTACCTTTCAGCCACAATAGTCAAAGAATCAATGAGGTGAAAAAGCCAGTTCAGTTCAAGAGCAGAGATGAAAAACTTCATTTACACATGTTTACACAGTTTCGATTCAGCATTCGTCAGTTGGACTACTTCCTTTCTCACTTCAAGAAAAGAGATGGACATTTGAGAGCTGAGACAGTTGTGACCTAATGAAGGCTGGTATTAATTCCATATCTGCAAATTAGAATGAAGATGGTAGCGTGATATCAGGTTTTCCACTTATACAACACATTCTGAAACATAAACAAAAGGAAATACATGATGAGAAACATGAGTTTTTGAAACGAAAGTCCAAAAATACAATACGACATAAATGTAAAACCCACATAAAAAGATGTCGATGCGTGGCACAACCTTGAGCAGTGATTCACTGCTCGACACGATCTCCCTGTAAACCTGGGGGGGAGGAAAACATTTTTTTAAAAATGGGTGAGCTGAAATACTCAGTGAGTGGGGGAAAGGGAAGTTTACAAAACATTCGTCAAACAAAAGTTATGGCATGCAATGGTTCTTATGAAATATTGAAAACAACATGATTCTATGAACATGATATGGTGGTAGGTAATCATTCATGTATGCATGCATAACTCATTTCTAATTGTTCTAAGTATTATAATCTGATCAATTAAACTGACAACTATTTCTGAATCCTAGCTCATCACTAAAGGTTGAAAACTCTTTTATGAGAACTTAAAGAATAGCTGTAAATGCTTATGCTTCTAAAGACAATGTTCTATAAATCATGCTACAAACATCGAATGTTTCATATAACTAATGCAAACTATCCATCAAATCTATAAATCATGCTACAAACATCGAATGTTTCATATAATTAATGCAAACTATCCATCAAATACTGAATACTGAAAACTGAAACTATTAACTGATATTGAAAACTGTAGGCTGGTATTTGAAAACTTTAAACCGATATCCTGTTTCGAAACAGTAAACTGATACTAAAGGTTCTCACCACAACTAGTACCTTGGGGAAAAATCTCAATACCTGGTGGGCATCCCATACACAGGTAGAGCTAGGAAAAACATCTCAATACCTGGCAAGATCTATTATCGTGTGGGCAGAGCCTGAAGAAAACCATCTCAATACCTGGCGGACAAGCTCAACGCCTAGGCAGAGCACTAAATATCTCAATATGCATGCATAGAGCCAAAATCTAGAACTGTCATATCCAGCGGAATCCTGCATCGCTCGGGTAGAGCCAAAATCTGTGTCACTAGGGGACGGGTACTTCGCCGGGTGGTTTGAAAACCACTCTTATCTCATTTCTCTATCTCAAACTATCATTTTTCCTTAAACATTTACCATATTTCATATAAAAGGAAAATCATGTCCACCATATGAAATCTCATGCAAAAATGGGGGAAATATGCAAGTTTTCAAACATACTCTCAAAACTAACAAAATTCACCACATTTATGCTATTACCAAGAAATCATGTCAACATCACAAATCTCAACTCGTGCAATTCAACCAATTTCCAAGCTCTCAATTGTAACATTTCCTTTAACATGAATATATCAAATTTTCTAAACATATTTCACCAATAGTCATATTAATATTTCAATCAATTTCCAAGAAATAGAAATTATAATAAAATGGAAAATGCAAGCTTTGGACAAAAAGGATTTTGGTTTTCGGGTGGCTTTTTAATGCTATACCATTTCCTATGAATCTAATGATGCTTTTTATTTAAGAAAAAGAAATAAAAATTCAATTAGTTATAACACTTGAAAAATAACACATCATTTCCTATACCAATACAGGGGTGAAAATGCAAACTGTAAAACATGTTTCAAAACTGACAGTTTAACCCCTTTTTATTTAACCTTAAAAAAAAACGAAATTCCAACAACCTTAACCCGTCACTTTCCATGAAATCAACATCTTTAATTATCCAATTCACACATAATTTCCAAGTGATTGAAAGGCAATAACTTAAAAGTAACATGCAAGCTTAAAAACTCAATCTTTAGTAAAGGATTTGGTGCAATTCCCACTCAGTCTTTGATTAGCAAACTATCTCCAATTTAAGCCAGCAGCCCATTTTTTTAAGAACAAAACACCAAATGCACCTTTATACACCTATATGTGTATATAAATAAAGAAAAGAGTTAATTATATGATAAAGTCTCATTCTAAATAAACATATATTCCATTCAACAATTTAATAAGCCAACACCAACATTTCCCGTTACCAAAACTCTGCATAATATAATTTTCTCCACCCTTCAACATAAGCCGAACCCAACTCTCTCTATAGTGCCATCACACCCCAAATCAAGCAGCCATCAACATCAAATTTCATGAGACAGCCATATACATATATTTAAATAACATGCAGCATGAAAACTTATTACTTTGGAACAAGATCTAATTCATTATCACCCAAAAATTTGCTCAGCTGAAACATGCAAGATACGTTTTAGCAAATAAAATACTTTAACTCAAGATTTTGCACCCAAAACATTATAATAGAAATAAATAACTTGACATGCAAACAGGAATTAAGTTTTTAAAACACTTTTTGGTTAATCCACTCACCAATTCAGCTCAGCCGAAACTCAATAAACTGTCAAGCACTTTTCTCTCTCACTCCACCATTTTCAGCCGAAACCCATTATGCTCTCTTCTCCTTTTTCTTCTTTCTTTCTATCCTCTCTTCTATCTCTTCTCTCTTATTTTTCATTCTTTGTCCTTTCGTTTTCTCTTCTCTCCTTTTTTTTTTTTTTTTTTCTGCTCTGCTTTGGCTTTCTCCCTCAGCTCACGTCTTCTTCTTCTTCCTTTGGGCGAACTGCCCAGTTTTCTTCTTCCTTTAAACAAAGACAGTTTTTTCTGAAATTATAATTCTGCCCCCAAATTTTCTAAATTTCATCTAACCCGGCCACCTAATCTTCCTCTACCAAAAACCTCCAGATTTTGTGCCCTTACTCATGCAAACCCAACAGTTTCCATTTCTTCGTTTTCTACCCCCAACCAAAGTTTAAAATTTGACAGAAAAGTCCCTCCTTATAAACAAAACCAAAGGGAATATATATATATATATAATTAGAATGGGGTTTTACACAGAACTTCTGTGTACCACAGTACCAGTACTGTTAAGCTATACCAGTGGAAGCATACTATCGACAATTGATTAAATCAAAACTGAATAATAGAGAATTCAATGTACATTAATTTAATAATTGTGGAGAAAAAACAGAATTTCATGAGCTATCTTTTTTGTTTGAGTTTGTGATCATTCTCCTTAATCAGTAACCAAATCTATGGCCAAATATTGATGTGAGTGATATAGGAAATCTTGGACCACTCCTGGCCTTCATCCCTCTTGCATTGTTCTTTTAACAGAGGGAAGTAAGAGAGGTGAGCTTCTGCTTGTAGTAGGCCTAGATATATAAGCTTTGGAGACGGAAGAGAGTACTGTGTTAGACCTGACCAAAAAATGATCACATGGAATAAGGTCCATGTTTGAACAGCAAAATTGGAATTAAAGCTCAGAATAGGCTCAAAATACAAGAACGAATTGGGGAGAGAACAATCTGATCATCAACTGCCTAAAGCAGCAATACAGAAAGACGAAAAGTCCCGAAACTCAACTGATCCCTTTCTAGTTGACATTGTCATTAGTCATCTCCTAAACAGAAAAAAAAAAAAAAGCAGACTTGTGGTATGAAGCTGTTATTATTGGGAGACATCAACGAATTAGAGCTCCAAAACCCCGCTGAGGAGTGCGTCTGTTTGCTTCAGTCTCTGATCTCCTTAAACCAAGGCTGCTTCGAGAGAAGGGTGGCATATATGCTTCCTCACCAATTGTAACATTTGGAATTAACAACTCTGTTGCAATTTTGTTACTCACTGAAGTCCTGATTTTCATCCAAAAGAAAAAAGAAGATCAATTATGTAGAGATTCCATTTAGGAAATGAAGTCAATAATCCCGGTGTAGCATAGTAATCAGTAAACAGTGTGTAAAAAGAATAAGGTTACTAACCAAAGGCATGAACATATCTTTAATAAGCTCCTGATTCACAGGCTTGCAGAGGTTTGGCCTCAACAAGGATACCCAGAGGTTCATCTCGTCCTCTGAAAAAAATCAAAAGAATGACATATTAATTAGATATTCTAAATAATAAAGAAGGCAAAATGCTGGGAAAACAAAGTAAACAAAGTTTGCACAAGGGAAGAAGGAACACTGTGACAGAGGATCATAAATTACATACACCAATGTAAATCAATTCAATTGAGAAAAATAAAAATAAAAAATGAAAAACTAGGGGCTGCAACATTGGACTTGCAGGTAATATATAAGTAAGCAAGCAAGCAAAAATTTGCGCAAGAAGAAGCTCACCATTCGGATTGCAATGTTGATAGATTATAATGCACTGGGGAGTGTAACATAATAAGCTATCAACAATGCTAAGAATTTGAAATGTTACTTGTGAAAGAAACAAACGGATCAGGCATTATAAACATAAACATGAACATAATTAACACTATGCTTATCATAAACATGGATATCAGGGAAGTGGACTAAATAAAAAATGAAACTAACTTACTAAAGGAATTAGTACGGGGAATACATAGTAGATAAGTTTGCGTTAGGAGAGAAGGAAATCTTCAAGTAGTACACAAGTAGCATGCTTGCAGAGATTCTGCCTCAACTATTTCAACTAGTACTTCTACCACAAAAAGGATGTTCACAGTCTCATTATGATGTGCATAGCCAGGTTTTCTTCCTGCAAATTCACCCTGAAAGAATGACAGGATAGCAAATTAAAATTGATGTTCATATGACAAGAAGCAGGGGCGGAGCCAAAAAAAATTCTTTTGGGGGTCTAAGTGTCCATCTTCAACGAATAAAGGGGTTTAAAGTATAAAAAATAAATTTCGAAAGCTGCTCTAATGGGAGCTAAAGTGTCGGGTTCAGCGAATGGGGTGGAGAAAAGGTTGAAAAGTGAATATTTAAGAATAGAAATGATATACTCCTATGTAACTTTTGAAAGTTTTGTGACACAATCTTCACCACTGACAAGAAAAAGAGAGTACTTGCTTCCCAATTTAAAAAGAAGTATGGGAAATCAAGCTCATACAAAAAACCACAAATGTTTCATAATTTTCTAAAGATTTGATATAAATTTCGATTTTTAACATGGTATCAAAACAGATTCTGATTTTTAACAGGGTATTAGAGCTTATACCTACGAGAGAAGGGGACAGTTTGGGTAGAAACCACAATTCAATTCCCTCACAACAATCCCCATTATCGTATCATTAGAAAATATGGTATGGAACTGCAGAAACTAACACAAGCTTCAAAACCGACTAAGAAGGTTTACCATATGGGACACAAACACACATGGGAAAGCCTTCCTAAAAAATTATACAATTAAGTATTATTAGCTTTCTCGTAATTGCAGTTACTCATATAAGTCTTGGTTTTCACACTAAATAAAAGAGAGAGAGACAAATTAAGTAGACAAATCGGCACAAGGAGAGAAGGAATAAGGATTCTCACCACAAGCTTGACTCTTGGGAAAATCTTCAACAACTGAAAGTCACATGCCACAGATGTTCTGTTTTGCCTCAACTGTTTCAATCGGTAGTAGTACTGCATCGACAATGACGTGGAGGTTTTCTTCCTGTTATTTTGTTCCATAGGAAACAAACAACACAAGAATTTAACATTGTGTGTTCATGAGGCATATTGTAATACCACGTTCTTAATGAGCTATGAACATTAAAATAAGTTAGTGATAACTTTTCCTTTAACCAAAGAAAAACAGAGGATTAAAATTTCAAGCAATTTGATAATAAAGTAAAAGAAGCAGCAATTTTAGGCAGAGTATGATTATGTTTACCATTGTGATTGATTGGAGTTGGGAGTTCAGATATTCCTGCATGTGGAAGTGGAACACAATAAACACCCAGTTGTTATATAATTAAAGCTCATCTATTTATTGTTAAATTAAACAGGATTTAGGTGTTCTACTTCACATACCTCAAGAGCTAATTCTTTGGATTTTGAGACTACGTAGAGCTTGTTCTTCCTTCCTTTTATACATCTTTACAAAATACTGATTTCACGGATATGGGCAATCTTCGACCACTCTTGTCCTTCATCCTTCTTACACCGTTCTTTTAACAGATCGCAATCCGTAATCCTTAATTCCAAAAGTGATGATGGGAGGCCCTCCTCTGGAAAGGATGTAAGATCCGGACATTGATAGATGTCTAATTCTTGAAGAGAGGTGAGATTTTGAAAAGCTTTGGAAGATAGGTATTTTAATTTTGGGAATTCACGAATGAACAGCTGTGTTAAAAAGGGCGGACATATCTACGAAAGAAAGTTATAGTAGCGATGCATCCCTTTAATCAGTCTTGACTAAAAGATATAAAAAGCTACAGTAAGAAAGTACATTACCTTGGATTTGTCAAGGCTGCTCCACTGCTCTTTGGAATGTCAAGACAGATGCTACCATTGCTGTTGATGTTAGGGTGGAAAACCTTGTACGGAAGGCAACCTGTATATCGAAATTATCCACTTTAATATAACGACAGGAAGCTTATCCACATTGCTAAACCACTTTGAAAGATATTCAAAGAATAAAACAACTAAGTCGACCATATGTCACTGTCTTCCTTCAGTTGGCCTACATAACTTGCCAAGATTATCTACATAGATTATAGCCAATTCCTACATGAATGAATATAGTGAAACAGAAGAACAGTATTTTCTTAGATACCATGAGCAAACCATGATAACGATTCAAGTCACACATGGGGAACTACAAAGAGTTTATATATGCAGAGTATAAGACAGATACAGTTCCCACTCACTCAACAAATAGCAATCAATTTGTTATACTGCACTTGACTCAACCAAACGAACAAAACCAGTAGAACTACTACCAAGCTCACATGAAAACAACTCCCAAATCCACTGAGAAGACAAGAAATACAGAGCCTCAATATTCTAAAATAATAAGAAAAACATTTCAAATAGAAGTCATTAAAGCAAAGAGGAATGTGCTTGAGGAAAAATATATTTTGCAAAGGAAAAAGAAAATATATTACTTTGGGTGGCTTGAATGGATAATCTGGTGGGAATTGAATGGAACAAGAGACACCCCCTGAAAATGGGCTATCTGATGGACCCATATTGTTGCTTGCCAGTGGAACATGTCATCAGCCACTGGGCCTGTAAACATGCAGCATTTCCAAATATATACCATAACCAAATATAATATATTTATGTCCAAAAGATAAAATGCTCACTGCATGCATTGTCGCATTAATGTTGCAAATGTTTTGATCAGCAAATAAGATTGATTGAAGCAGCCAAACAAAATCCAATAATCTAACTAAGGTTCCATTTACTAAGTTTCTATCTTTTGATTTCCTCCTGGAATTAAAGGGAAGGTAGGGGTGATGAAGGATTAGAAAACTCAAGTTGAGATGTGCACAATGATTAATGAATATAATTTCTCCATTTAAAATCTTCATAGTAAAAAGAAGTTCGATACAACTAAAAGCAATATATAATATGATAGAAAAAACACACCAGCGCTGCACGAGGCAGGAGGGTCCTTCTGCAGGTCCTTCAACTCCTTGTTGTCCTTTTTAAGCAATGAAACTTTCTCAAGGCACACCTGCAAAAGCATAAATATTTAAGAATGAAATTTTCCAAAACAAAGGAATTTCCAATCCTTGAACCTATCTCTAAAATAATAATACCTATCCAACAACAAAGTTCGTATTACCCATCAAACACAAAGTTCATATAACCCAATCGAACACAAGTTCAATTAACCCAATCGAACACAAAGTTCTATTCCAATCAACAACAAGATCATAATATTATGAAGTAAATATTCAAAAAACAAGGAATTTCCAATCCTTGAGCCTAACTCTAAAATCAAATAATACCCATCTAACAACAAAGGTCATATTAACCCACCAAACAACAAAGTTCATAATATTTACAAATGAAAATTTTCCCAAACAAAGGAATTTCCAATCCTTGACCTAACTCTAAAATCAAATAATACCCATCTAACAAGTCATATTAACCCAATCAAACAACAACACATGAATTCCACAGAATCAGAGACCAGATATATTAAATTTTCTTGTAATAATTGTTCGTCTCATAGCAATTATTCTTCTATTACTAGCCAAACAGGTCACAACAAAATTCTAATTCAAGTCTGACACACGGTGAACCCACAAATATACTTGATTTATCAAATAATCAAATAAATAAATAAACAAAATACAAAACACTAAATAATACAACTTGCAGAAATAACAAATCAAAAAATACAGAAACCCTGTCGTGCTTAAGGGTTCAACATCAAAAAACATCAGAAACCCTAACCCTAACCCCATAAAAACAATTTTATTGTAGGAAAAATTGACCCCACAAACATAATTAATGTCTAGAAATCAAAATCCAGAGACATAAAGCAGTATTAAATTAAAAATCTTAAATTTGAAACCCATACCTTAACTTAGGGTCAAAGGATCGAATCGAAGAATCCAAATGAAAGAAATGTATGAATTTATGGTAAGGTGGAAACTGAGAAGTTCGAAGAAATAGGTAAATATATTGAGTAGCTGTGGCTGGCACCCACGCCACACTTGCCAAATTCCAATTCGTCTTCTAGTTACTTCATACATTAGTAGATGCGGATTCCATGGGCCCAGATTTAGGCCCAAATCAGTTATTGGTTGGGTTATGTTCTTTCTAGCCCGGCCCGTACAACCCTCAAATATTTTATTATTTTTTCTTTTGTTATATCTCGCTTGAAATTGTTTGTGTGGTTATTATATTCGACCATAAACATAAAATGTGGATTAGTTGGTGTTGTATTATTGACAATAATCATAACTTATTAGTGGGATAGAATATTGCAAGTATGATCAAGAGTGGAGGTCTTTTTCTTTAGACAAACAAGCCCACCACTAGAGGATAGATGATATGGGATAGTTGTAACATTTAGGTCATGACATCAATTTGTCAATTTCACAAAAAAACAAAATACAATCGGCATTTGAGCCTAGACCAAACCCTTTTTTTGTTTTTTTGTACACCAGATTTTCGGGTTAACTCTGTGCACTTTGACTTTTTTGGAGAATTAGCGCAACAATCTCTTGTCATAACAGTTCACTTGAATCACCCTCTACACCCCCTCTATTTAAATCAGAGATACTCAACAGGAAATCAAATTTGAAACTGTATGTCTACTATACTATCCCCATTTGACTAACATCTAGACTATCCACGAATAGATGCGTAACCAAACCGTTATGCCAAAATATCAAATACCCCATCAATTACTAGCTTGAATTTATTCAAATAAAAACAAATTACTTTAAAATAAGTTGAAGAATCCACATCTACTACAATTTTCTTAGATAACTCCATGTTCTCTCAATACACATACAAGATTAAAAAACTCTTAAATATCTAGTAATCCTTTACTACTTATCAATGGACAGATGTTTATTATCTGAATCATTTGCCTGGAATCTGGTGGAAGATTTTAGTATTGTGGTAGTAAGGTCTAATGGCAAACCATTTAAAATATAGTTTCGAGTAGTATTATCATATGATCTAGGTGATGATTGTTGTATTATATTTAAAATTCGGTAAATTCTGTTGATATTATTGGGAAAATAATGAAAGTCAGCGGAAATGGATGGTTAGTGGACAACCAAAGCGCCAGGATCGAGTGGGATTGACAATACGTGGTGGGTTCACCACAAAACTGGTTTCGAACTCAACTCACAACAACGAAACCATTTTATCTAACTTTAGCATTCACTCTTCCTTCTCTCTCTCTCTCTCTCTCTCTCTCTCTCTCTCTTTGTTGTTTTGTCTCCTTGACAGTAACTAAGTTCACCTCTTCATTGATTCTCTTTCTGGTTTGTTTCATTTCCTTCTTTGGTGGGGTGCTTTTGTTTTTGTGTTCTTAATAATTTTGCTGGTTCTTGATTGATTTTGTTGAGTTTCAGGAGCAGCAAACCTGGAAAGTTTGTGTTTGGTGAGAGTTGCATTTTCAATTTCTTTTTTAATTGTTCTTGGGTTAATTTTTGTTATGGGGTTTTGTGATTGATAATGGAACAAGATTGTCTGCACAGCTTTATTTCTGGATTTGTTTTCAAAAAATCATAAAATTTTATCAAGATTTCTGTCCTTTTATCGATATATTGGAGCTTTGAAGGTAACCCATTGACAAATTTAATTGTAGATCTTGTGTATGTATATCTTATCTAATCATAAGGTGCATATAAACATATAGCTGGATTTTTTTTTACTGATGCATAAGAATCATTCGTGTTTCCATGTTCCAGTAATCGAATTTATATTAAAAGTAAGGATAATTCTAGATTGAAAGTTGTTACTGAGCTTGAATTTGTAGTTATGTTATTTTTCATTACGAAGATGTTGTAATGCAGTATAGGTTATTATATGATTGAAATTTGAATGTAAACTGGTTACAGTGTCTAAACATTTTCGTCTTATCTGTGCCAGGCTTATAGGTAGCTCAAACATTGCTATCCCATTTTGTCATTATCAATTGGTTTTGGGAGGTTTTTGGGAAAGCCTGAGTCTTCTAAGCATGCTTGGATACCAGAACAAAGCTTGAGGCCAAAATGGTTGAAGCTATGCAGCGAAGGGCAACTGAAGGAATGCCATGAAATCGTTCAACAGCATAATTTTGAAATTCCCAAAATTGTGAGGGCTTAAGAAAATGCAAAGATATTTTTGAGCAATTTGGTAGGTTTCGTATATTTTTTTATATTTGTTTTTTCAATTGTTTTGTGAAATTTATGCATAGTTTATCAAGCAGGCTGTACATCTATAGCTGGCAATTTCCCTAAAAATTTCCAGACATTCAAGTTTTGATTTTTAAACCTGTTAGAAATAAATTTTTCTGTTCAAACCTTCTAAACTTGATATATTTGGTGTTAGCAAGTTTAAAATATTTTTACGTTCTAGCACTGCTTTAAGTGCTCATATCTTTTTGATATACACAGACACGTAATACTGATTGTCTTCTAACTTCTAAGAGGTATCTCTTTTTCTATTTCTTGTAATGAGGACTCAAATGGTGCGATTGATCAGGAGAGCTTAAGAAGTGTTTTTCTAAGCTTGAATAAAATTTCCAGAGGAGAAATCAATGATCTCTTTCAGCCTGTGATTTAATGAGGACTGGGAATGAAGTTCAATGAGTTCATTGTCTTCTCTGCCTTGTGTATCTCTGAAGGATGATCCAACTGCTCTTCATGCTGTATCCAATCACACTATTTAAAATTCAGCATATTTCATTTTAAAGCCGGCAATTTTTCTTTTTTAAACATTGTCCTCAGTTGTATTTTGTAAAAGTGCAACGAACACCTTTTCCTTGGAGAAACTAGTTTGATTGATTACACTATGTGCCATATACAATATTGCTCTATGTAGAGAGCTCTCCTTTTTTTGTGTTCCTTCATGCTAGAAATCACGGATGGGTAGCCGAAGTTGGAGGCAACTTTCGAAACCTTGGTTGATGCATTTGTATTCTTGGACAGGAACAAGATGGTTTGTCAGCAGAAATGAGATGGCTCAAGCCATAAATGAATCAGGGAACGCTCTTCGGGACGAATAGTCATGAAAATTTGGTCAGTTTTTTTCCTTTCTTCCAGCATTCAAAAAAATTTATACCTCCATGTTTCAAAAATTATATTTCTCCTATATACAGTGCCCTGCTTTCAATCTGGATGTGGATTTCTCGGTGCGAAGATCTTCATGCTCTTCTATGTGCATGCATTTGAACAGATTTACTCAAATTATGCTTTGATGAGTTTTGTTGGTCATATAGATATTCTAATGGCTATGTTCTTCCCGCTTTACTATTGTAGAGGAGATGGACTGGGATAAAAATGGAATGGTGAACTTCAAGGATTTCTATTTGCATTCACTAATTGGGTTGGAATAGATGACGAGGAAGAGGGTGAAGAGAAGGTTAAACCATCCATGTTTTTTCCCAGTGTTGCTGTCTACAATTGCTGGTAGCTAAAGGCTTTTCAGAGAGTGGGAAGTTCCAGCATGAAGTCCTTTTACTCTTTCTGGTAAATGGTAAAGGGAGGCCATACAGGATGTAGAAATAAATGAAGTTTAATTTGTAATGTAGATAGTTCACGTACACCACTGAAATGCTCTTCTAATAATTCAGAGGCTTCTGTGATGTCTCACTTTTCTCTTTTCTTCTTTTGTAATAGGGATTATGTCAATTTTGGTAAAAAGTTTACGACAGGCAATATTTTATTTTCTGATCCTTATTATTGTTTATTTTTTGAGGTTTATGAAAAAACTTAAACTGGGAAATGATCTGCATTGTTCATGGCTTAAAGTCGGGCAAAATCCCATTTTAGTAGCACCCTCATGGGTGGTATTCCTGTTACCATCTCCTCAGATCACCAGCCAATCAATAGATCAACCTATATTGCAAAGATTTGATGCAAGATTGAAACTAAAAGCAGGTATGAGATTGATGAATGAAAAGGAAGCTAATTCATTTGTAATAGAGATAGCAAAAATTGTTATTAAAGCATTTGGGTAAACCATCGTTCATTATCACCTCCGTCTCTGACAGTGAGCATTTCACAATTGATTCACTGTATATAAGTGACATAAATTCCTTGTAAAAGAAATAAGAAATAAAATATCAAAGATATGCTCCTTTTCCTTTCAATAATGTCCCTTTCTCTTTTTCTCTCAACATTAAATAAATGTTTAATGTAGAAGAAGAGCAAGTCTTACATCTACCGACACTATATATTCAGCCGACAACCTTTTTTATTTTTTTATTTTAGTTTTTGATTTGTTCTTATTGACAAGATGGCTAAATTAGGGTTAATGCATTTACTTTTTCATCACTTGAAGAAAAAGGTTTCATTTTTATTCCAACCCACTCAACTATTTAATTCACCACATGCATATATGCATGAAGCATGATCCTCTCTTTTCTCTGGTTTTGAGTAAACAAAATTCTTATATTTCTTCTTTAATTACTTATTTCTAAAGTTTCAGATCTACCCAAGAAATCAGTAAACCAACTTTAGCAAGACACCCATGTGCATAAAACTCCTCTAAACTACATCTTTTACTTAAATATTTGTAAATAATGTTATATCAGTTTGTACATGTAACACTATTTTTAGGCTAATAAGTTTATTTTAAAACCAAACCGTCGGATCGAATAACATAAATGCATATAATTAACAAACAACTTAGAAAACATAAGCCAACAAGAATATATAAATTTGAGATTAATAAAGATAGTGAAAGATGAGTGTGAGCAAAACAATCAAAAGCAGCCAAGCACAAAAGGGTTCACTCAAAATTGGATGCATTCAAGAATTACAAAAGGGAGGTTAATAGGGACATGTCCTATAAGTTCATTCTGTTTCTCACTATTCTCCCTCATTTGGTTTGGTCTTATCTTCCTACACACCAAGGCATATGTGTTATAATGGATGAACAAATGAAGTGTATTCTGAATCAATGGAGCCCCCAATTCAAAACAGTTTTGGTAAAATGTTGGAGAGTGATAACACTCAACAGTGAAAAGGATTTATTATTGGGAAACATGATAACATGCAACTGGTGGCCACTGCATCACATTGTCGCTAACTGATGGGTCCTTATACTCCCATTTTGTTAACCAAAATCTTTTGTTTTCACATGCTCTCTCTCTCTCTCTCCCCCCCCTCTGTGAATCAATTAACCACTCATCTATTTTGACTCTTCTGTTGTCCCTTTCTGCTTCATTTAATTTCATCTGTCAGCACATGGTTAACTGTCTTGACAAAATCCACACAGGTTCTACTTTCCATGTGATTTTTTTTTTTTTTTTTTTTTTTAAACAGTTTGGTTGTTGGAGATGAAATTCTTTGGTTCACTCACTTGTTTAAAATAATAATGGTGAAATGATGAAGACAGCAAGAAAACAATGTGAATTACTGGAGCTTCAGGCTGAGGTCCCCACATTCACAGCCATTGCTAAGAGATACCATTTTAGATTTTTTTGGCAAGTGACCTAATTGCTAGCTTTAGGGGACCATATACCAGCAATTTCTAGGCTATAGCTATACAAATGAGGGAGGAGATGGTGAGAAGTGAGAATGATATGCATGTGAAGGGAAAAGGCCTCAATGGGCCTCACTGTTGAGACTCTTTGTCCAAGATCCAAACAAGGTCATATTCTTATCTACAGGTAAGGCTGCCACAAAAATTCCCTTCTGGTTAGCTCTGAAAAGTCCTAGTATCTTATGAAAGTAAAGATTATGAGACTGTTTGGCTGTCAATAAGTAAAAAATGCAAAACTCTTTCCCAGAAACAGGCTAGGTTGGTTCATAGTTCAATTCCAAATCAACAAACAATAATCTAGCAGATAAAGCCTTGATCAACCCAAGAGACGGGCACAAGAATTACAGGTCTAACTCCTCTTTATACATTGTCCATTCAACTAGACCATCTGACTGCACATGAATTGGATTCTCTGTTTCCTGGTTAGCAATCTGAATCATATATATATTAGCCCTAAAATCACTTGACCATAACGTGTATTTAATTTGAAATTCTGATATTTCATGCAAACGATATTTCACGCACCTCAAACGAGAAAACAGATGGTTTTTTAAGCAAATTTTAATGCAAGTTTTAAAGGACCTGTCTAAAGTTTGAAAGTAACCCACATAAAACCTTCCATAACAAAGTATATGGCAAAAGCAAACAAGTAATTAATCTCTGGACAGACTTATTTTTCTATTATTTACTAATAGGACTGCAACGACTATGACCTTCCTTGTTATTAAGGAATTCATCTTCTAACCCATCGCATATTTCTGAGTCCAGGATCGAGCAGTACTCTCATATTTGGCTCTGTCAGTCTTGTACATATGGGCAATCTCAGGCACAAGAGGATCATCTGGGTTTGGATCAGTAAGCAGTGAGCAAATTGAAAGAAGAACCTGCAAAAAGAACAATCATAACATGTCAAAAAAAGCCAAAGCCAAACCCAAGAATGGCTAAGCAAAAAAGTTTGATGAAAAATTATATCCGACTTGTCTTCTTCTATAATTCGACCATATCTACGAAAGAAAGGTTATAGTAGCGATGCATCCCTTTAATCAGTCTTGACTAAAAGATATAAGAAAGCATACAGTAAGAAAGTACATTACCTTGGATATTGTCAAGGCTGGGCTCCACTGCTCTTTGAGAATGTCAAGACAGATGCTACCATTGCTGTTGATATTAGGGTGGAAAACCTTGGTACGGAAGGCAACCTGTAAAAATAATCGAAATTATCCACTTTAATATAACACAGGAAGCATTACCACATTGCTTAACCACTTTGAAAGATAATTCAAAGAATAAAACAACTAAGTCGACCATATGTCACTGTCTTCCTTCAGTTGGCCTACATAACTTGCCAAGATTAGTCTACATAATGAGTATAAGCCAATTCCTACATGAATAGGAATATAGTGAAACAGAAGAACAGTATTTTCTTAGATACCATGAGCAAACCATGATAACGATTCAAGTCAACAATGGGGAACTAACAAAGAGTTTATATATGCAGAGTATAAGACAGATACAGTTCCCACTCACTCAACAAATAGCAAATCAATTTGTTAATACTGCACTTGACTCAACCAAACAGATACAAAACCAGTAGAAACTACTACCAAGCTCACAATGAAAACAACTCCCAAATACACTGAGAAGAACAAGAAATACAGAGCCTCAATATTCTAAAATAATAAAGAAGAAACATTTCAAATATGAAGTCATTAAAGCAAAGAGGAATGTGCTTGAGGAATAAAATATATTTTGCAAAGGAAAAAGAAAATATATTACTTTGGGTGGCTTGAATGGATAATCTGGTGGGAAGTGAATGGATACAAGAAAGACACCCCCTGAAAATGGGCTATCTGATGGACCCATGATTGTTGCTTGCCAGTGGAACATGTCATCAGCCACTGGGCCTGTAAACATGCAGCATTTCCAAATTATATACCATAACCAAATATAATATATATTATGTCCAAAAGATAAAATGCTCACTGCATGCATTGTCGCATTAATGTTGCAAATGTTTTGATCAGCAAATAAGATTGATTGAAGAGCAGCCAAACAAAATCCAATAATCTAACTAAGGTTCCATTTACTAAGTTTCTATCTTTTGATTTCCTCCTGGAATTAAAGGGAAGGTAGGGGTGATGAAGGATTAGAAAACTCAAGTTGAGATGTGCACAATGATTAATGAATATAATTTCTCCATTTAAAATCTTCATAGTAAAAGAAAGTTCGATACAACTAAAAGCAATATATAAATACATTGATAGAAGAAAACACACCAGCGCTGCACGAGGCAGGAGGGTCCTTCTGCAGGTCCTTCAACTCCTTGTTGATCCTTTTTGAAGCCATGAAACTTTCTCAAGGCACACACTGCAAAAGCATAAATATTTAAGAATGAAAATTTTCCAAAACAAAGGAATTTCCAATCCTTGAACCTATCTCTAAAATTAAATAATACCTATCCAACAACAAAGTTCGTATTAACCCAATCGAACAACAAAGTTCATATTAACCCAATCGAACAACAAAGTTCATAAATATTTATGAATGAAAATATTCCAAAACAAAGGAATTTCCAATCCTTGAGCCTAACTCTAAAATCAAATAATACCCATCTAACAACAAAGGTCATATTAACCCAGCCAAACAACAAAGTTCATAAATATTTACAAATGAAAATTTTCCCAAACAAAGGAATTTCCAATCCTTGAACCTAACTCTAAAATCAAATAATACCCATCTAACAAGTCATATTAACCCAATCAAACAACAACACATGAATTCCACAGAATCAGAGACCAGATATATTAAATTTTCTTGTAATAATTGTTCGTCTCATAGCAATTATTTCTTCTATTACTAGCCAAACAGGTCACAACAAAATTCTAATTCAAGTCTGACACACGGTGAACCCACAAATAATCAATTGATTTATCAAATAATCAAATAAATAAATAAACAAAATACAAAACACTAAAATAATACAACTTGCAGAAATAACAAATCAAAAAATACAGAAACCCTGTCGTGCCTTAAGGGTTCAACATCAAAAAACGATCAGAAACCCTAACCCTAACCCCATAAAAACAATTTTATTGTACGGAAAAATTGACCCCACAAACATAATTTAATAGTCTAGAAATCAAAATCCCAGAAGACAATAAAAGCAGTATTAAATTAAAAATCTTAAAATTTGAAACCCATACCTTAACTTAGGGTCAAAGGATTGAATCGAAGAATCCAAATTGAAAGAAATGTATGAATTTATGGTAAGGTGGAAACTGAGAAAGTTCGAAGAAATAGGGTAAATATATTGAGTAGCTGTGGCTGGCACCCACGGCACTTACTTGCCAAATTCCAATTCGTCTTCTAGTTACTTCATACATTAGTAGATGTGGATTCCATGGGCCCAGATTTAGGCCCAAATCAGTTATTGGGTTGGGTTATGTTCTGTCTAGCCCGGCCCGATACAACCCTCAAAATATTTTATTATTTTTTCTTTTGTTTATTATCTCGCTTGAAATTGTTTGTGTGAAGTTATTATATTCGACCATAAATCAATAAAAATGTGGATTAGTTGGATGGTTGTATTATTGACAATAATCATAACTTATTAGTGGGATATGAATATTGCAAGTATGATCAAGAGTGGAGGTCTTTTTCTTTAGACAAAACAAGCCCACCACTAGAGGATAGATGATATGGGATAGATTTGTAACATTTAGGTCATGACTATCAATTTGTCAATTTCACAATAAAAACAAAATACAATCGAGCATTTGAGCCTAGACCAAACCCTTTTTTTGTTTTTTTGTAACCAAGATTTTCGGGTTAACTCTTGTGCACTTTGACTTTTTTTTGTATAGATTAGCTTAACAATCTCTTGTCATAACAGTTCATTTGAATCTCCCTTTTACACCCTCTATTTAAATTAGAGATACTCAGACAGGAAATCAAATTTGAAACTGTATGTTTATCTATACTATCCTCAATTTGTACTAACTATCTAGACTATCCATGAATAGGTACGTAGACCAAACCGTTAATGCCAAAATATCAAATACCCCATCAATTACTAGCTTGAATTTATTCAAATAAAAACATAATTACTTTAAAATAAGTTGAAGAATCCACATCTACTACAATTTTCTTAGATAACTCCATGTTCTCTCATATATCAAATACAAGATTAAAAAACTCTTAAAATATCTTAGATAATCCTTTACCACTTATCCAATGGACAGATGTTTATTATCTGAATCATTTGCCTGGAATCTGCTGGAAGAGTTTTAGTATTGTGGTAGTAAGGTCTAATGGCAAACCATTTAAAATATAGTTTCGAGTAGTATTAATCATATGATTTAGGTGATGATTGTTGTATTATATTTAAAAATTCGGTAAATTCTGTTGATATTATTTGGGAAAATAATGAAAGGTCAGCGGAAATGGATGGTTAGTGGACAACCACAAGCGCCAGGATCGAGAGGGAATTGAAAATACGTGGTGGGTTCACCACAAAACTTGGTTTCAGAACTCAAACTCAGCAACAACGAAACCATTTTATCTAACTTTAGCATTCACCTCTTCCCTTCTCTCTCTCTCTCTCTCTCTCTCTCTCTCTCTCTCTCTGTGTTGTTTTGTCTCCTTGACAAGTAACTAAGTTCACCTCTTCATTGATTCTCTTTCTGGGTTGTTTTCATTTCCTTCTTTGGTGGGGTGCTTTTGTTTTTGTGTTCTTAATAATTTTTGCTGGTTCTTGATTGATTTTGTTGAGTTTCAGGAGCAGCAGGAACCTGGAAAAGTTTTGTTGTTTGGTGAGAGTTGCATTTTCAATTTCTTTTTTAATTGTTCTTGGGTTAATTTTTGTTATGGGGTTTTGTGATTGATAATGGAACAAGATTGTCTGCACAGCTTTATTTCTGGATTTGTTTTCAAAAAATCATAAAATTTTATCAAGATTTCTGTCCTTTTATCGATATATTGGAGCTTTGAAGGTAACCCAGTGACAAATTTAATTGTAGATCTTGTGTATGTATATCTTATCATAATCATAAGGTGCATATAAACATATATGCTGGATTTTTTTTTACTGATGCATAAAGAATCATTCGTGGTTTCCATGTTCACAGTAATCGAATTTATATTAAAAGTAAGGGAATAATTCTAGATTGAAAGGTTGTTACTGAGCTTGAATTTGTAGTTATGTTATTTTTCATTATGAAGATGTTGGTAAATGCAGTAGATGGTTATTATATGATTGAAATTTGAATGTAAAACTGGTTACAGTGTCTAAACATTTTCGTCTTATCTGTGGCCAGGCTTATAGGTAGCTCAAACATTGCTATCCCATTTTGTCATTATCAATTGGTTATGGGAGGTATTTTGGGAAAGCCTGAGTCTTCTAAGCATGCTTGGATACCAGAAACAAAGCTTGAGGCCAAAATGGTTGAAGCTATGCAGCGAAGGGCAACTGAAGGAACTGCCATGAAATCGTTCAACAGCATAATTTTGAAATTCCCAAAAATTGATGAGGGCTTAAGAAAATGCAAAGATATTTTTGAGCAATTTGGTAGGTTTCGTAGTATTTTTTATATTTGTTTTTTCAATTGTTTGTTGAAAGATTTATGCATAGTTTATCAAGCAGGCTGTACATCTATAGCTGGCAATTTCCCTATCAAAAATTTCCAGACATTCAAGTTTTGAGTTTTAAACCTGTTAGAAATAAATTTTTCTGTTCAAACCATTCTAAACTTGATATATTTGGGTTAGCAAGGTTTAAAATATTTTTAGGTTCTAACACTGCTTTAAGTGCTCATATCTTTTTGATATACACAGACACGTAATACTGATTGTCTTCTAACTTCTAAGAGGTATTCTTTTTTCTATTTCTTGTAGATGAGGACTCAAATGGTGCGATTGATCAGGAAGAGCTTAAGAAGTGTTTTCTTAAGCTTGAAATAAAATTTACAGAGGAGGAAATCAATGATCTCTTTCAGGCCTGTGATATTAATGAGGACATGGGAATGAAGTTCAATGAGTTCATTGTACTTCTCTGCCTTGTGTATCTTCTNCTATGCTGGAAAATTGAAAGAAAGTGTAAATATGCAGAGTAAAAGTAGAAGAAATTGACTGTTGCAGTTTTTTCTTTAGTTTGAAAGTTTTCTTTTACTGGTAAATGTTTAAGCCTGGTGGAAAATGCAGAATAAGAATATATGCCTATTAAAGGCTGCTGCAAAGGAAGGTGAACTTGGAAGTAGAATAAAGCTAAAGAGTGTCTAGTTTACGGGGAAAAGTTGATATAAGGAAGAATGATGGTGTAAGACAGTGTTGTTCAAGTACTGTATCAATATCAAGTATTTGGTTTAAGGGGAAATATCGAGTATAGAAGTGAGTGAGAAGGGTTTTTATGTAAAAGATCAAAACTGAAGGATTGTTTTGTAAAAGTTTAATACTTGAATGTAATACGGTGACGCTTTGGTGCTTTGTGTAGCTGCTATATAAATGCAGCATTCTTGTATCTGAACTTTCTAGTCAATTAATAACAGTTTCTCTGTTTTCTGAATTCGTTAGTTCTGCTTTGAGTTTCTCTTAAATACTTTTCTGGTTTACATTTTTTGTTCAAGTCCGTCCAAGAATCTTCACTCTCACTCAAGGCTCTTATAAGAGTGTTATAAACAAAGCAATTGGGTTCACGCGTTTGGTTAAAAACCTTAAGAGCGTAGTCTAAGTCACGGCGGTCGGAGAGAGAGCAGAAGCGAAGAATCTCGGTGGCGGCAAGTGGGTCGTGGATTTGGGCAGTCTTAAGTAAATTTTCTGTTTAAACCATTCTAAACTTTATATATTTGGGTAAGCAGAGTTTAAAATAGTTTTACGTTCCAACAGTGCTTTAAGTGCTTATATCTCTTTGATATACACAGGTATGTAATACTGATTGTCTTCTAAGAAGTATTCATTTTTTTTCTATCTCTTCTAAGAAGTGTTTTCTTAAGCTTGAAATAAAATTTACAGAGGAGGAAACCAATGATCTCTTTCAGGCCTGTGATATTAATGAGGATATGGGAATGAAGTTCAATGAGTTCATTGTACTCCTCTGCCTTGTGTATCTTCTGAAGGATGATCCAACTGCTCTTCATGCTGTTTCCAATCACACCACTTAAAATTCGGCATATTTCATTTTTTAAGCCAACAGTTTTTCTTTTTAAACATCATCCTCAGTCGTATTTTGTAGAAGTGCAACGAACACCGTTTTCCACGGAGAAAGTAGTTTGATTTATTACACTATGTGCCATATACAGTATTGCCTTATGTAGAGGGCTCTCCTTACTTTTGTGTTCCTTAACATTGCTAGAAATCACGAATGGGTATGCCGAAGTTGGAGGCAACTTTTGAAACCTTGGTTGATGCATTTGTATTCTTGGACAAGAACAAGGATCGTTATGTCAGCAGAAATGAGATGGCTCAAGCCATAAATGAATCAGGGAACGCTCTTCCGGACGAATAGTCATGAAAAGATTTGGTCAGTTTTTTCCCTTTCTTACAGCATTCTAAAAAATTTACACCTCCATGTTTCAAGAAATATATTTCTCCTCTATAACAAGTGCCCTGCTTTCACTGTGGATGCGGATTTCTTGGTGGAGGAAGACCTTTATGCTCTTCTATGTGCATGCATTTGAAAAAATTTGCTCAACATTATTATGCGTTGATGAATTTTGTTGGTCATATTAGATATTTCTAATGGCTAATGTTCTTCCCGCTTTACTATTGCAGAGGAGATGGACTGGGATAGAAATGGAATGGTGAACTTCAAGGAATTTCTGTTTGCATTCACTAATTGGGTTGGAATCGATGATGAGGAGGAGGGTGAAGAAAAGGTTTAAGCCAATCCATGATAGTTACCAGTTGTTGCTGTCTACAATTGCTGGTAGCTAAAGCTTTTCAGAGAGGTGAAGTTCCAGCATGAAGTCCTGTTTACTCTTTCTGGTAAATGGTAATGGGCGAGGCGATATAAGGATGTAGAAATAAATGAAGTTTAATTTGTAATGTAAATAGTCTCACGTACACAACTCATATGCATCTTCCAATAGTTTAAGAGGCTTCTGTGATGTCTCACTTTTCTCTTTTCTTCTTTTGTAATAGAGATTATGTCAACTTTGGTAAAAAGTTTACGACAGGCAGTATTTTCACTTTCTGATCCTTAGTATTGTTTATTTTTTGAGGTTTATTGAATAAAACTTAAACTGGGAAATGATCTGCATTGTTCATGACTTTAGTCGGGCAAAAATCTCATTTAAGTCTGCACCCTCATGTTTGGCATTCCTGTTACCATCTCCTCATCTCACCAGCCGAATCACTCTGGCTTCATAGCACCAATTACCGCTGCTAATTTGTATGGTTATAAAACAAAAATCCACGTATGTTTCATAATTTGCGAAAGATTTGATGCAAGATTGAAACTAAGAAAGCATGAAATATGATGAAGCTAAAGAAAACTAATTCATTTGTAACAGAAGACAGCAAAAATTGTTATTACAATTTACAAGCACTTGGGGGTACTTCCCTCTCTGACAGTTTGGGTAGAAACCACAATTCAATTCCATCTCAACAATCCCCATCATCTTCCAACCAAGGTGGCACACAAACACACATGAAAAACCTTCCTCAGAAATTGTACAATTCAGTATTATTAGCTCTCTCGTATTAGCAGTTACTCATATGAGTCTTGGTTTTCGCCCTAAATAAAAAAGAGAGACATTCAGGGAAAAGATAATAGAAAAATCGGCACAAGGAGAGAAGGAATAAGGATTCTCACCACAAACTTGACTCTTGGACAAATCTTCAACAACTCGAAGTCACATGCCATAGATGTTCTGTTTTGCCTCGACTGTTTCAATCGGTAGTAGTACTGCATCGACAATGATATGTGGAAGTTTTCTTCCTCTTATTTTGTTCCTTCGGAATCAGAAAATACAACAATTTAACATTGTGTGTTCAAGAGATGAGAGGAAATAATTTATATTGACTTGCCAACTTACATATCAACATATTCTAATACAATGTTTTTAGTGAGCTAAAGAAAAACAATAATATAAGTTAGGGATAACTTTTACTTTAACCAAAGAAAAACAGAGGATTAAAATGTCAAGCAATTTGATAATCAAGTAAAAGAAGAAGCAATCTGAGGGAGAGAGTATGATCCTGTTTACCATGGTGATTGATTGGAGTTGGGAGTTCAGATGATTCTGCATGAGGAACACAATAAATACCTAGCTGTTAATTGTAAAAGTAAACAGGATTTAGGTGTTCAACTTCAGATACCTCAAGAGCTAATTCTTTGGATTATGAGACTTCATAGAGCTTGTTCTTCCTCCCTTTTCTACATGTTTACGAAATACGGATTTCAGGGATATGGGCAATCTTCGACCACTCTTTGTCCTTCTTCCTTCTTACACTCTTTTTTAACCGATCACAGTAAAAAATCATTAATTTCAAAAGTGAGGATGGGAGGCCCTCCTCTGGAAAGGATGTCAGATATGGGCAACCAGAGATCTCTAAATGTTGAAGAGAGGTGAGATTTTGAAAAGCTTGGGAAGATAGGTATTTTAACTTTGGGAATTCAAAAATGAACAGCTTTGTTAAAGAGGGCGGGAACATCCATTCTCCAGGAAAAGATTCTGCATCTGAGCCTTCATTAGTCGAGTGAGAGGTAAGAAAGGGCTTGTTCAATCCCCAGCCAATCCCGAGGTATTTAAGTGAGGTGAGCTTCTGCAATCCCCACTCCATCAGTGGCTTACAGATATTCGGACCTGCAACTGTAAGTGATGTGAGGCTGGTGGGGAGACCTTCTTCTGGAAATGTTATTCTTGGACAACCGGATATGTACAATTCTTGAAGAGAGTTGAGGGTGTGGATGCCATTGGGGAGAGCTTTAAGATTCTGACACTCTGTTATACAGACTTCTCGTATTGTGCTAGGAAGCCTTTCATCAGGGAAGGACAAAAGACTATGACAGTTACTTATGAGAATCTTACGAAGACAATTAAGATTGTGTAAACCCTCTGGTAATGATCTAAGATTATAACAATAGCTCATACAAATATCTTGGAGAGCCATGTTTTTATGGAACCTCTTTGCTATTAGCTCTAATTTTTCACAGGAAGGAACAATGGGGTATTCAGGTGCTTCAGTTGGTTGGTCTTCTAACAATAAGATGGGGAGATTTGGGCAACTTTCAATTTTGAGGTGCTTAAGTTTAGTAAGCGACAGACCTTTCGATGATAAACAAGCGAGAGATGAGCAACTCCTGATGTCCAAGTCTTCTAGCTGAGATATTCTTGTGTTGTCAATGATCTCTCTGTGCATCACTGAAGAAGAAGATAGAGAAGAAGTGCCAACATCTTCTGTATCATCCAACAAACACTTCAATTTGTAACAACTATCTACCGATAGCTTTCTCAGAGATGAAGGAAGCTGACCTCTCACAATGCATGTCAAAGAATCACAATCGTAAATTTCTAAACTTCCAAGGTGCTCAAGCGTCTTAGGTAACTGACCTGTTGATGATAAACTCATGAGAGATGGGCAATTGGTGATCTTCAGATTAAAGTGCTGAGTGTCCATCCGTGAAGAAGAGGAAGATGAAGTGCCCACTTCTCTATCATAAAACAGACGTTGCAATTTGTCACAGTCATCAATCTCAAGCGTCTCCAAGGAAGTTAAAGACAATGATAAATTTCCAAGCCAATCTGGAAACTGTGTGCCACCATATCCACTGATGCGGAGCTTTTTTAGATTTTTGTGAGGTCTTAATTTATCAAGTACATTTTTCTGTACTTCCTCACTTTGACAGTCTTCATCACCATTGCCACAATATCGCCTAAGATCACAATACCATTCTAGCCATAACTCGTCTAACTTCTCCTTATCACATAATATTGCTTCTGGCGAAAATGAGGTTGCATTTTTTAATTCCGAAATATGAAGCTTTCCACGAAGAAACTTGAAGTTATTTAAAACCTCCAAACCAGATCCACTATCTTTGGCCACGACAAATTCAGATAATGTTCGAAGATTCTTCCAATTTTCCATTCCCAATGGCATCTTTTTTAAAATTCCTCTTGGGATATTAAGATGGCGTAGATTGATCAAATTTCCCATAGGAGGTAATCTTTTGAAAAATCCACAAGCTGGTAGCTGCAAAACCAAAACCTCTAAGTTGATTAATGAATTTATTGACTTAGGTAGGCGTGTAATCATAGAGTCTGAAAGCTTGAGGTACCTCAAATGTTTCAAATCTCCAATTGTATCTGGTAAATTAACTTCATTAACATTCAATAGAGACAACACCCTCAATTTTTTGAATTTTGGCAAAAGTTCTAGAAAGTGTATACGAGATGCACCATGGAGTTCAAAGATAGTCCTCAAGTTCACAGCTGCATGGAGTGCTTCAAATTTAGTTCCCACATTATACCGACGAGGGCCACCAGGCACGGAAGACAAGTAGCGAATCTTTTTTAATACTTCTTGGTTGTTGATCCTCAATTCATCCTCCAATCTAAAACTTGTATCTCCAGAAGCCCATTTTGCCAGATCATTAACAAGATCATGCATTACATAAGTAGAACTGTCCGTGTTGCTTGATTTCTGAAAAAGTGATCTTGATAGCAGATCTTGAAAATATTCACCACCTACATCTTCCAATTCCATATTGTCTTCTAACTTTTGAATTAGACCTTCTGCCATCCACAAAAGGACAAGCTCCTCCTCTTCGAATTCATGATTCTTTGGAAAGATTGCACAATATGCAAAACATCTTTTTAGATGGGAAGGAAGATAGTGGTAGCTTAGTTTTAACGCCGCAGGAATCTCACTCTGCTTACTTGAGTACAATGCATCTTCCCATATGTTACTGTCTAAAATATTTTCCCACTTACTTTCTCTTGGCTCAGAACGTAGAAGGCCACCAAGAGTCCTAGCAGCCAAGGGTAAGCCATTGCACTTCGAGGCAACTTTTTGACGAATATATTCCAAATTTGTAAATTTGGCAATATCTTTATTCTCGAATGCAAGTTTGGCGAACAGGGACCAACACTCCTCTTCTGATAAGAGCTTCACATTATGACTTTCAAAGGATCCAGTCATTGTTGACACAACTTTGAGGTTGCGTGTTGTAACAATTATCCTACTCCCTGGTGCTCCTGCCATGAAGGGAGCTTTTAGGTTTTCCCACTTATCATAATCTTCATTCCAGACATCATCCAGTACAAGCAAGAATTTTTTGCCAGCTAGTAGAGATCTCAGTTTAACTTGTAGTTGGTTAAGAGTCTCCACATCGGAAGACTCGGAAGTTATCTCCGCCAAAATGATCTTGCTGATCTTTTGAACATCAAAATGGTCATGATCAGAAACAGAAACCCATACTTTTGGGTCAAAATCTTTCACTGCCTCGTCATTGAACACTTGGCGAGCAAGTGTTGTTTTGCCAATTCCTCCCATTCCGACAATGGGTATTACACGAAAGTTGGCATCACTTGGTTTATCCTTCAACATCATTTCAAGTATTTTAGCTTTATCAGCATCTCTACCAATAACAGCAGGTTCATGTTGCAAAGATGTGGTTCTTCGTCTTTGTGGTACAGCAGTTGATGTCCCTCCAGCAATTTCTTTCAACCCAAGACAATCTCTTTGTTCACACAGATCTTTCAAACGGCCTGTCATCACTTTTATCTGCGACTTCATGCGACGGTTGGACATCAAAGAAGAGAAAAAACCAGTAAAGCTGTTCCTGGGTTGGTCTGTAGTCATCAATTGGCGCTCTGCAAGTTGAGTGGCATATTTATCCAGAATATCTTCTATATCATAAGCCAAGTCTTTTAGATCATTCAACCAGATTTTCACTGCCGGGTTGGTTAGTTGCTTCTCTTCTGCGTCGTTAAGTACCGCTTGAATTATCGATAACTTTTCCTCCCACTGCTTTATCGCTGAACGTATCCCATTATTACGTAGAAAGGACAGCAACCTGCGATCCGCCAATCTGTCGAAAATTACCGGCAGCAACGCACCCAGAATGACTTCTCCCACTGCCATGATTCTGGTTTAGTCTTTGAAAGAAAAGAACGGGTTGTCAGAAAGAAGCAACTGGCAAGAGAGATGACAATATCGACAAAACTGTCAAATAAACTTACAACACCAGCGAAATTCATATAGATTTAATTGTTTTACTGCAACCAAATTCATTTTCGAAAATAAAAACATAAAACACAACAATGATGTACCATCAATTTCTGGGCGCAACAGAAGTAGACCTTACAATCATCTGATTTCCTTATAGTTTTGGCCGAACGACTTGTGCATACCCAAGATTTACCGTAACGACAAGTTGGTATCTAAAAGGTTTTGAAACGACAAATAGGTACCTTCCATCATGTTCTGTTAGTGATTTTTGTTTATTAATAGTGAAAAGACTAAAATGCCCTTCAAAGTTTCAATTTTAGTTTTTTATAAATTTAAAAATTTCTAAAAAGCCCCCTAGGTTTGCTAATTTAATTAAACACCCCCATATATAAAAAGTTTGTCAAATGACAAAAACACCCCCACCACCCCACTGGCCAGATTCCGGCCACCATCGCCGGAATCTGGCCGAAAAACTGCATTACGACACAGATCAGTCGGATCTGTGTCGTAACGTGCCGATCTGGCCTTTTCCGGTCAGATCCGCCACGGATCTGGCCAGAAAAGGCAAAATCTGGCCGTCGAAGCAGCAGCCAGATCTGGCCTTTTCCGGCTAGATCCGTGGCTGATCTGGCCGGAAAAGGCCAGATCTACTGCCAGATTTGGCCGTCGACGCCGCAGATGGAGTTTTGCGGCGTCGACGGCCAGATCTAACCGTAGATCTGGCCTTTTCCGGCCAGATCAGCCACGGATCTGGCCGGAAAAGGCCAGTTCGACGCGTTACGACACAGATCCTACGTGTCTGTGTCGTAACGCAACTTTCCGGTCTGATTCCGGCGGTGGTGGCCGGAATCTGGCACTGCGGGTAACGGGGGTGTTTTTGTTATTTTACAAAATTTTTATATATTGGGGTATTTAGTTAAATTTGTAAACTTAGGGGGTTTTTAGAAATTTTTAAACTTATAAAAAACTAAAATTCAAACTTTTAAGGGAATTTTAGTATTTTCACTATGAATAAACAGTAATAAACAGAAATCACTAACAGAACATGACGGAAAGTACCTATTTATCATTTCAAAACCTTTTGGGTACCAACTTGTCATTACGATAAACCTTGGGTACGTGTAAGTCGTTCTCTCTATAGTTTTTAAGTACTGATTTAACGAAATTATATTCCTGAGTAATATGATTTATCTAATTTTTAAGCAAAGCACAAAGTTAAAGAAAAATAAATAGAAATACCTAAAAAATTTGACAGATTGTCCTTAAAATATTATTACTATTGAAGCTAGCGGAGCTTCACATGATTGTCAAACTCTCAAGAATTCATAAAAATAAATAGACCCCCGATCTCAGTGTCACAAATAAAAATAAATAGAAATTGAATTCATAAATAGAATGTATATAATAATGTTTAGAAAGGAGGAAAAACGTTTTTCATGTTATAGTTTTTAAGTACTGATTTAACGAAATTCTATTTCTGAGTAATATGATTTATCTAATTTTTAAGTACAAACACAAAGTTTAAACAAAAATAATCCGCCAGAAAGATCTCAGAAGTGACAGGATTATGAAATTCTTATCTGGCTATCTCTAAATTTAAAGAAATAAGAATTAAGTTGCTAAGAAACATAAATTCATCACAAAGATAAACACATTTAATGTACGTACCTCAAAACCGGAGAAATTAAGTGCAGAAAGTTTGAGAGTAATTTTATAGAGTTTTTTCTATTATCTTCTATTTTTGATAGTCAAATGAGAGTAATTACTCCCCTAATCCTGTATAAAAAAGCTGTTGTAAGGAAATGGTGATGATATTAAATTTTATATGATTGTTTCACACAAAGAAGGTTCATAAGTCATCTAAGGTTAGTTTGAAGAAAAATAATAAAGAATGACTCCATTTTTAGTCTTCGTGAATTGGAAAATATATAAAAGTTAAGTCATATGAAGCCAAGCAAATCAAGACAACTCTTTACATTAATAAATGTGAATAGTAGGTGGTGTTTATTTAATTTGGTTCAATTAATCTGATGAGCTTGTTTGATTCTTCCTCTAAATAATAACTAATTAAAACCGCGTATGGACTTTTGATCACAGTTTCGTCTTTGTTCATAATCTGTTTACACTAATTAATTCAAACCGTGTATGGACTTTTTCTCACCCAAGGTTTGGACCGATGAGACTGTCCCATCTACCAAGTTTCAAAATGACACTTTACCAACCCATGTTAATATTCTTCCATTAAGCTTAATTAAAGAAGGATAAGGTGGTAAATTCGAAAAAAAGTTAAAGGGTAATTATGCCATTTTACCCCTATATAAACTTAAGTCCTTTCAAACTGCTACAGTGCCGCCGCCACTACCGCTAGTTGTTTCAAGCCGATTTCGACTGGTTCACCAAAACCGACAGAGATCTTCACTTCTTCATCCTTTGAGCCTTAGCCCAGCCTAATTGTCCAAAAATTGGCCGAAATTAAGCTGTTTACCATGGAAAAAACCCAACCTTCACGCCGCGGTCCAGGTCAAATTGGCCTGTTTTTGGTGTCGTTGACCTCCCTCAACTCCACCAAAATACTCCCTTCACCTCCCTCATCAAAACCCCTACCTCCCCACAATTGTTTAGCCCGCCGTTCGTTGCTCACCATGCTTGGCTTGTTTTGTGTGCCCCAAGATTTTTCGACCGATCCCATCATTGAAAACAAACCTCGACACCACCAAACGCACCATCGACACTTCCTCTCTAAAACCCTCAACAAACCCGATTTCGTTTGCCCATCGAACACCGCCGATCACTACCTCATTTCCTAGGGTTTTTTTTTGCTTGATTGATGATTTGGGTGTAATTGTTTGGAATTGTTGCGTTGGAAATTGACTAGTGAAGTTGGTTTAGAAGTGCTTGTGGTTGTGTGTGATTGTTTTTCCAGTCGCCAGATTAGAAATGTTTGTGGCTGTGTGGGATTGATTTCCCGGTCACTAGAATCAGAGGTGGCGAAAGAGAGAAGAAAAGAAGAGAATAAGGGAGAAGGGTGTTTTGCTCTTTACACTATTTTATCATGTTACATAATGAATTTTCCTAACGAAACATAACGATGGGTGGGAAAAGTGTCGTTTTGCAACTTGATGAGTGGGAAAAGTGTCATTTGGAAACTTGACGGGGTGGGAAAGTCTCATTAGGCCAAAACTTGGGGGGAAAAAGTCATTTGCTCTTTAAATTCTCTATCAAACGGGCCCAAGTTTTTCATTATGGAAATTTTTTTAATTTTGTATCTTTAGTGTGGCAGCAATGCTATAGACACTGGAAATTGGTACCAAAAATTTGCACCAAAATACGTAGCACCTGAGACGGACGTCGCTACGTAGGACACGATAGAAGACTTTCATAAATGGATGACCGTCCAACATTTTTGGACGGCCGTCTAGAAACTCATTCAGGAATTGACGACAAAAGGCACATTGATCCCTATTAAGTTTCCTTTGAACGAGATCTTCCTCTTCTCTCCTTCTTACGACTCTGATTTTGACTCCGCCCTCTTGCTACAAGAGCTTCTGCTGACTCATCTCTATTCTCCTTCTGATCCTTCTTCTGAATTTCATGATTGGACAGAGCAGAACAAACTTCTTCAAAGGACAATTTTTCTTTCCCATGAAGAAGTGTAATACTAAGATAGTCCAACTCATCTGGAAGAGATCCAATTAACAACATAGCCTTATGTTCATCTTTGAATGTTTCATCCAAATTTAACAAATCAGCAATTAATCTGTTAAATGTATCAATATGGCTATTGATATTCATACCTGGTCTCAACTGAAGACAAAACAATCTTTTCATCAAATCGAGCCGATTCTCATTACTTCTCTTCATGTATTTGTTTTCCAGCGCCTTCCATAACTTATTGGTAGACGTCTCTTTCATGAATGGATATTTCTGCTCTCTACAAAGACATGAGCGAATCATCCCACACGCTTTTACATTCAACCTCACCCAGTCTTTCTCATAGATATCCAGAAAAATATCTAGATCCTGCTGATACACGCTATCCATTACCTCGCTCTGCCACAAGCCTAAATTATTTTGGCCATCAAATTTTTCAACATCAATTTTTGCATTTGAAACCATTATCATTGTTACTGGCGCGGATGGTGGTGCTACGGACGGTGATGCCTCAGACGATGAATCCTCAAGCAATGATGCCATTTATGCCTTACTTAATTGGCTTGGTAAACAAAGTTCCCAATAACCAAGCTCCACAAATTATTATAATCAATAGCTAACCAACAAATCAATAATAGCCCTAGGTAGTAGTAAGTGTTGAAATGATTAAATACGCACCAGAAAAATTCCCAAGAAACAATGGAGGGGTCACAAATAGACCTAGCAAACGGGCGGGTGTACCCGCAGGTCAACAGGTACCCGTACCCAATGGGCGGGTACGAGTAACACATACTTCCACCTGTGAGAATCTGACCCATACCTGGCCCGCCCGTGACTTTTGCGGATGGACCGGGTACTACCCGCAGACCTGCAAATTTGAAATTTAAAAAAAAAAATTAAATAAAAAACTTTTCACTCAAACTCTCACTCTCAAACCCTAATCTAAACCAAAACTTATCACTATCAGTGAAAAAAAACAAAAACGCAGCCCTCATTCTCTCACACACAGGCCACAACAACTCCACCTCCACGGCAGCTCATTCACGCACGACCATTGGTCTCACAGCAGCTCCAGCCACGACCACTCCTCTCATAGCAGCTCCACCTCCACCCCCTCACTTTCTCACTCTCACAGCAGCTCCACGGCAGCTCATTCACGCATGACCATTGGTCTCACAGCAGCTCCAACCCTCCTCTCATAGCAGCTCCACTTCCACTCCCTCACTTTCTCACTCTCATAGTAGCTCCACGACAGCTCATTCACGCACAACCATTCCTCTCACAGCAGCTCCAGCCATGACCACTCCTCTCACAGCAGCTCCACCTCCACTCCCTCACTTTCTCACTCTCACAGTAGCTCCACGGCAGCTCATTCAAGGAAGGTGGCAGCTCATTCTCTCACGGCAGTCGGCTGCTCATTCTCTCACTACAGCATAGCTCTTTCTCTTACGGCAGCAGCAGATCTCTTGTCTCACGGCAGCAGCAAATCTCTTGTCTCACGACAGTAGCAGATCTCTTCTCTCACGGCAGTAGCAGCACGATGGCAAGCAACATCAGGGCAGCAGCAGCACGACAGGTAGGGTGTTTTTTAATAGATTTGTTATTAAACTTATAATTTTATAAAGCATGGAATCAGGGTGGAAGTTGTTATTAAATTAAAAAAAAAAAAAAAACACTCACACCAGCCAATTAGGATGTTGAAAATTGACAGCTTAAATGTGACGTGAGGGAGGCTTAAAAAGTTTTGTAAATAAATTTTTTATATTTACATATTTTAAAATAGTAATAAGATAATTCCTTTTATTCTTCTTTTGTAATTTACAGAAATAATGATGATTCACAATTTCACAGCATATATCACATTATAATTTTTTTTTTGGATGAATTGTTATGAATTATGATTGGTTATACTTATTTGAGTTGAGGGGTGTTGATTGTTGAGTTGGAAAAATCCAGTCATTTGGTAGGGCTGGTTTGCTTGTAAAATATATGGGAGTGTTTTTATTTTCTTTGGATTATTATGAATTATGATTGGTTAATTAATTTAAATGTAAGTACTTTGTTGTGTCCTTTAGATTGGCTTGGTATGGAGGAGTCTATAGATTTAGGAACGGGTCGTAATGTAGTCGTAGGTCAACTTCCTTCTACTGGTAGTACTGTTTGTCCAAAAAGACGTAAAGTTTCAGATGCTTGGGGTCAATTTACAACATCTACAGAAGATAATGGGGAGGTGAGGGTAAAGTGTATGATTTGTGGTAAGTCATATGCACATGGTAGTTCCAGTCATGGGACTGAGAATATGAGGCGTCATATGGAATGTTGTCCTAAACGTACCATTACTAGTAGTGTAGATCTAATGATGATGGATTGTGATACTAAATTGAGACATATGAAGATTTCTCAAGAAATTTATCGTGAGAAGATGGCAATAGGAATCATAAAACATAACTACCCATATTCAATAGTGGAGCATGAAGGAATTAGGGATGTCCACATGTATTTGAATCATGAAGTTAAGCATTATATTAGGAACACCGCTAAGGCAGATTGCTTAAAGATATATTACAGGGAGAAGGAAAAGATTAAGCTTGTTTTAGAGAGGGTTTCAGGTAGAATATGCTTGACTTATGATATTTGGAGTTCTTGTACTACTGATGGGTATATTTCTTTAACGGCTCACTATGTTGATGAGAACTGGGAGTTACAAAGTAGAATTCTGAATTTTTGCCATATTCCTCCTCCACACTCAGGGGCTCTTTTGTCAGACATAGTGTATGATTTCTTAAAAGATTGGGGGATTGAAAAGAAAGTCTTCTCTCTTACATTAGACAATGCAAGTAACAATGATAAAATGGAAGACATTTTAAGGAGTCAACTTTGTGTGCAAAATGTTTTATTATGTGATGGTTCTTTTTTTCATGTGCGATGTTTTGCACATATCTTGAATCTCATAGTCCAAGAAAGGTTAAAGATGAGTAGCGTGGCTTTGCATAAAATTCGTGAAAGTGTGAAATATGTTAAAGGAAGTGAGGCTAAAAGAATCAAGTTTGGAGAACTTGTTCAAAAAATTGGTGTGATAAGCTCAAAAGGATCGTGAATGGATGTTCCCACGAGATGGAATTCCACTTATTTAATGCTTGAAAGTGCGTTAATATACCATCATGTGTTTGTTCATTTGGCACTGATAGATCCCAATTATAAAAGTTGTCCTTTAGATGAAGAATGAGATGGGGGGTTGAGCATTTGCAAGTTCTTGCAACCATTTTATGAGATCACTACTTTTTTTTCGGGTTCCCAATACCTGACAACAAACTTGTATCTCAGAAATGTGTGGAGAATTCAAGTGCGTTTATACGAAGAGATGGAAAATGAGGATGAAGTTCTTAGTACCATGGCAAGTCAAATGAAAGGAAAATTTGACAAATATTGGGATTCTTACACTGTTGTGTTAGCAATTGCAGCAATTTTGGACCCACGTTTCAAATTTAAGTTTGTTGAGTTTTGTTACAAAAAAGTTGATGGCCTAGTAGTTGCAACAAGAAAGTTGGAGTTGGTCAAGCAGGAGTTGTATAGGCTTTTTGCTGCTTATGAGGGTCTAAGTGGCAATGTGGTTCCCAGCGATCCTTGCGTGCAAGCTAGTGATCCTAATATCATTGGAGATGATATTTGTGTAAGTCAATACTCCCTAAATATTTTTATAGTTAAATGATTAATAAGGTTTTCTTTATTTTATATTCTTGTAATTTTGTATTTAAATGGTGCAAAAATTTGACTACTATAAGAGTGACTTTAGTGCTACTAAGAAGTCGGAATTGGATACTTATTTGGGAGAGGCAAGGTTTGATTGCATCAAATTTTGCAATTTGGATATCCTGGACCATTGGAAGAAAAATAGTGATCGATACCCAATACTTTCGATGATGGCCCGTGATGTGATGAGTATACCAATAACGACTGTTGCTTCGCAGTCCAGTTTTAGTATTGGTAGCAAAGTGCTCAATAAATATCGAAGTTCACTTTTACCGGAGAATGCAGAGTCTTTGATAGGCCCCAAAAGTTTCCCACTTTTCATTCCTAAGTAATGTTTTGGCTATTTATTTATGCTTTACTACTTGTTATTATTATATTCAATAGCTAGAGTTAGAGTTTATGTTTCCGTTGCATAACAATAATAAAATTAATTAACCTTGTCTCACTCTATAACTACCCTTAGTCTTTATTTTTATAAATTAAAACTAAAACCGTGTGGACTTTTGATCACATGACTCAAGAACATGAAGTAACAAATTATTTGATCAGAACCTAGTGTTAACCTTGTGCAAGGAAAAAAAAAATCTTAGATTTGTTGAGTTGTTGTTGTAGATTAGGAATTGATAAAGACTTCATGATTATCCTTATTATTATTTTATAATTGTTTACTTGTTAGATCACGAAATGATTGACTAATGCGAAAAAGAAATTTGTTTTTCTTAATTCCAGCCGTCCTGCAGCTATCGGTATTGGATTGGATAATACGATGCTCACAGCTGAAGATTTGATTTTGTCAAACACAACTTTAATTTACCAATTATTTACTTGGTATTGTTGGAGAAATGACATATTTTGATCAATAATAATACTCACAATCGCATTATATAGATGCCATATGAGTTCAAGAGAATTAAATCAAAAGTGAGACATGTTATTGTCTTGTAATAATAGAAATACTGATGTAATTACAGAGTACTCATTCAGCACTATTTCATTGAGTAGAAATGCAGAAAAAAAACTCTTATGAAAAGGTTCTACAAGGAGCAGAATGAAACTCCATCCACGTCTACAAAGCTTCCAAAGATGACCAACAACTTTATGCTCACTTTTTGGCAAAACATAAGACCTTGATTCCCCCACTGCCACTTGAAGACTTTGTGGTGATTTTCTTGTCTGTTTTGAAGTTAGAAGTAGCACCTTAAATATTACCTGACACATCAATGTTTGAAGTTTTAGGGCATTAACCTAAGCCCTCAGACAAACTATGTGTGATTTGAGTTCTAGTTAGAGTCTTTTTTATATGAAGCAGAGCTAACACCTGTGAGACTTTTTCCTAATTGGGTATGTCTATTATCAAAAGGTTATGTATCTTCAAAATTTCATGTACCTTCAAAAGGTTGTTTCTTGCCGCTTCACAATGCCAATAGTAGAGGCTAACTCGTAGAAGAAGAACATCAAAAAAATTCTATAAAGCAAAAGTAGGATCAGTAGAGTACAATTTTTTTAGAATTTGCCGATGATTAGAGATTAGAATTTGACCAACAGCCTAATGCAAGATAGAGATGCGAAACCCTTCACCTCAACTGGTTCATTTTACAAGACATTGTCATTAGAAATCACCTCAACTAGAAGTTAGAGGCATTGTCTAACTGCATAAGCAGACATTCACTTGAGAAGGGTCCCTTTCTTTTTGGAGTTTCAGATATCTTTAAACCAATGCTGTTGTAGGAAAGGGTGGAACATAACCAGACTAGGGAGCCTCGAAAATTGTCCGATTCAGCATACTAGTCCTCTCGTAGTTGCTGTTTCTACTAGAAGTCTTGGTTTTCGCCCTAATTAAAAGAGAATGACAAATTAAGTTAATATCCAGGGAAAACGTCATAAACAAGTCTGTGGAAGGAGAGAAGGAACAAGGATTCTCACTGTTAGTGTTTAAGCAAATGTCGGATGTGCAAAGAAAAGGAGAACAGAAGAGAAACTGATTCAAATTCATTATCCAACAAAACCTGCATATAACATGCTTTTGGCTTACTGTTACAACCACTGTCAGTAGACCTTTTACATAATCTCAACTAATCCACACACATCTAACTACTACATTACAACTTGAGAAAATTAGCTGAGTCATCAAATTCAAAATTAACACAAGTTGACAAATAAAGCTTAAACTACTGCACTCAAAACAGCAGCATGCACGTTCCTTTGGTTACTGCAAAACCAGCTTCAAACTTTTAGTTCCAGCAAAACATACTTCTAGCACAGCATCATCCATCAACACTCCTCCTTGATGCTTTGGCTGGAAACACCAAGTTCTAATCTTAAGGCTTCAAACTTGAATTTGCACAATGCCTTTGTCATAATGTCAACAACTTGATCTTCCCCTCTGCAGTGCACTAAGCTCACTTCTCCACACTGTTTAGCTTCCCTAACATCATGATACTTAATCTTGATATGCTTAGATCTGGCATGGAGTACAGGGTTCTTTGCCATTGCCACTACCGACTGGTTATCACACAAGATTAATGTAGGACCATCTTGCACTTGATGCAAATCAACCAGCATCTTCCTAAGCCACACCGCCTGGTTCACTGCTGTTGCAGTAGAGACATATTCAGCTTCAGCAGTAGATTGTGCCACAGTCTCCTGCTTCCTTGACAACCAGCATATTGCACCCTTATTCAGATAAAAAACATAAGCAAAGGTGCTTCTAGCAACATCCAGGTATCCACCGCAGTCACTATCAGAATACCCTAACAATTTTAGACTTTCAGCTTTCCTAAAACAAATGCCTAACATGCTGGTTCCTTTAACATACCTCAGCACACGTTTTGCAGCCTTAAAGTGCAGTTCACTTGGGTTGCTCATAAACCTTGAGAGATAACTTGCAGTGAACATAAGGTTAGGTCTGGTGGCTGTGTAATACAGTAAACTTCCAACTAAGCTTTTGTATTTCCCTTCATCTACCCTCTCTGCACCATCAGTTTTGCTTAATTTCAAGTTGGGAACCAGTGGGGTATCCACTGGTTTACAATTCTCCATTCCAAACCTCATGAGAAGCTTCGTTGCATACCTCTGTTGGCACACAAAAATCTCACCTGCATTCTGACTTATCTCCACGCCTAGGAAATATTTCATCAATCCCAAATCTGTCATTTCAAACTCAGTCTGCATGGCTGATTAAACTGGTCCAATTCTTCAAGATTGCTTCCAGTTACCAATAAGTCATCAACATAGAGAGAAACTACAGCCAATCCTCTGCCAGTTTTCCTAATGTAGAGAGTGTGTTCATTAGGACTTCTGGTGTAACCAAGGCTGCACAAGTGGTCATTTATCCGGCTGTACCAGGCTCTAGGGGCCTGCTTCAAGCCATACAAAGCTTTTCTCAGCAGATACACATGATCCTCTTGGCCCTCAACCTTGTAGCCTTCCTGTTGCTCCACAAAAATCTCTTCTGAAATCCACCCATTTAGGAATGTAGACTTGACATCCAGCTAGAAGATTTTCCAGTTAAACTGAGCTGCAAGTGCTAACAGCAGCCTGATTGTGTCTTGCCTAGCTACCGGGGCAAAAGTTTCTGAAAAATCAATACTTGGTTGCTGTGCAAAGCCCTTCACCACTAGCCTTGCTTTATGCTTGTAGATTGAGCCATCTGGATTGATTTTCAGTTTGAAAATCCATTTCACCTGAATTACTTTCCCATTTTCAGGTCTTGGTACCAATTTCCAGGTTTGGTTTTTATCAATCATGCTGAGCTTCTCCTGCATTGCAACCCTCCACAATTCAGATTTTGTAGCTTCAAGATAACATCTTGGTTCCACCATTACCACATTGCACCTTTCATACACATCAGCCAGTGATCTTGTCCCTCTAATAGCATGTTCTTCTTCCTCATCTGAATCTGCCTCTTGGATCAGCCCCTCATTTATCTTTTCTTGTCTTGATTCAGCCTGCACGTCAACTCTCTTTTCTTCCCAGTTCCAAACTCCACCTTCATCAACCTTTATGTCTTTTGTAATTACAATATTCTTTGACCCAGGGATGTAAACTCTATAAGCTTTAGAGTTGCTGCTGTAACCTATAAGTATCCCAATTTCAGCCTTATCATCCAATTTGGATCTTTTGCTTGCTGGGATAATTACATAGGCTATACTTCCAAATACTCTCAAGCTCCCTACAGCTGGTTTGACTCCGCTCCATGCCTCAATTGGTGTTTGATGTTTGACTACTTTGGTGGGCAGCCTATTAAGGAGAAAAACTACTGTATTAACAGCTTCAGCCCAAAACACTTTAGGAAGGTTCTTCTCTGCCATCATGCACCTAGCCATTTCCATAATTGTTCGATTTCTT